AGACAGATAGACAGATAAGAGAGAGGGAGAGATAGATAGACAGACAGACAGACAGATAGATAGATAGATAGTTAGATAGATAGATAGATAGTTAGATAGATAGATAGATAGATATAGATAGGTAGATAGATAGATAGATAGATAGGTAGAGATAGATATGGATAGAGACAGGATAGATAGATAGATAGGTAGATAGGTAGATAGGTAGATAGGTAGATAGATTCAGATAGATTCAGATAGATTCAGGTAGATTCAGATAGATAGATAGGTAGATAGATAGAGATAGATAGAGATAGATAGGGATAGATAGATAGATAGATAGATAGATTAGATTAGATTAGATTAGATTAGATAGATAGATAGATAGAGATAGATAGATAGAGATAGATAGATAGATAGACAGATAGATAGATGGCTGCGAGTCAAAATTGTGTATGGAACGTTCCGCGGTGTTCCGGACGTATGGAACGAAGGAGCTTCGTAACTGGTCTTGTTCCGGACCTTTGTAGTGTGATGAAATATAGGCTGTACATACAGAGAGATATATATATATTATATATATATATACATCTTAGGGATGTGCATGTTTGAGCTACTCACGCTAGTTGCCGCTCTGTTTCATGTCTCATCTGCACGACATCCAGGTACACCTGTTCAACGCAGGTTTGCCTTGGATGGCTAGTGCTTGTGAACTAGCTAGGACACAACCAGTAGCTAGCGTCACCCAGTGGCTACCATGAAGCTGTCAACTCAGCTCAGACCTGTCACGCAGGTCCCACCCCTTACTCCTTAAATCTCAGAGGTCCCCACTGGGTAGATTGTGTCCCCGCCTAGCAAGACTCTAGGCTCCCATAAGCCACCTGTTTGCGCATGTGGTACCGTTGGGAATACAAATACGTCGTGCGTTGCATGGGCTATCAACAGTAGCTACGGTCTGGCCCCGACATTCACACTGTCTTTAGAAAGTGGCGGCAACCATTCTAATTTGTATGCAAGCACATGAAGTTTTCACAGTGGTAAGGAGCCAAACAGACATGCATTGTTGGAGGCATTTAATCTCAGGCACAAAAAGGTGGACATTAGGTTTCAATCCGTAAAATGGTTTGGGGGTTCCTTATGGGTACGTCCCCAAGCCGTTTTCACGAGCTCGAAGAATCAGAACTGTCACTGGCAGAGCTAGAAGAGTCATCAGACTTGAATGCCAAGCGTTCTCGTCGGGCTTTCTGGGAACGTTTTGCCCGCTGCTTCTCATCTGCCAATAACTTCTGGATTTCACTCTGCCGCCGGCCTGTGATACCTATTTTCACATGCTTCTGCGCTTGGAAGCGTCTCTGCAGCAAAGCTTCTGGTAGAGCTTCTTTCTCCGGCTCATCCTTCCTGTACGAAACCCTCCAATGAACATCCTGACAAACGCGGTCCACCACTATCGCCTTTCCAAGGTTTTGGCCTCCATCCACCAAGGCAATGCGATCTGAGTAGATGTAGTTCACCAGCCGGGCTGGAACATGTGAAACAGTGCTTCTGAAAAAGCCAAGGCAATAGGTGTAGTCGATTTTCAAGTCCATAGAAGCTGCGTCTAGGTACAGAAAAGTTTTGGGTTTGCTTGGGTGAAAATGCGCTATTTCATACTGAGGGCCGACAGGCGGTGGATCACTGAGCATTGTTTCCCGGGCTCCTTCCCGCAAGGCAGTCAGAAGAGCGTCGGCCGAAGAAACTACATGACGTGCTGAATATGCTTCTAGCCAAAGGCGTTGTAAGCCAAACTGCCCATCATTCCGTCCCTTGCCATGATGCTCACCAAAGAAATTGAAATACACAGCAGTAATTTGCGGGTGCGTTTGCAAGATGTCCACTGCAGTAGCAACAAAGGCATAGGCCTTGAAATGTGGCCCGCAATCACTCCATATCTAAAGGGTCTTGCAAGACGAAGGCAGGGCGAGCCTCCGAATACAATCCTTCAAAGCTACAGACGCGTGCAGCGCTGTATGGTCTAGGATTTGTGAAACATAATGGAAATAGACCTTGTGCTGGTGACCTTCTTTGTGAAAACTGGCATACAGTCCCAGGGTTGAGAAGCTCAAGCGGGCCGTGGCCCAAAACCAAGATTGCTCCTCCACAGGTCCCAAGGGCAGCGTCAGGTTTTCAGCATAATCCAACTGGATGATCACGCTGTCAGGCGGGAGGTCCTCCTCCATCTTTTCTCTGCAATTGTGCTGCCTTCGAAAACTGTGGAAATGGTGCTCGCAGGATTCAAGAAGCGACAGCACACTCTTCAGATCATTCAAAGCCTTCAGCTCTGATTCTCGCAGATCAAAGAGGTGTTTCCGCGCACCTGGCACATCAGGAGTGCGCTTGCCTCTCCTGTTGGCCATGTTTTTATCAATGTATTGGATGGCTCCACGTACAAACTGTAGGCTGCTCTTTCCATCTGGGTCGGTTTTGCCAGCCGCGGTCATTGAGCTCCAGAATTCATCAAGCTTCGCAAAGTACCCTTGTTCCACAGTTTGCACACTGCGCAAGGCAGATTCGATGCTCTTTTCCACACGAGGAACTACGAGCTTGTCGTACTTGTGGCACACAGGGCACATGTCGACCTTCTTCTTAAATTTGCTGAAATGGGGATGTTCTGCTTTCAAGTGCCGAAGCCAAGAACTCAAGCTCATTAAGTCTTGCATTTCTTTGTGCAATTTCCAGAGCTTGGTCTTGGACCGGGATAGCGCTCGACACTGGATGAGCTCACCGCGAATCTTGCGATAATGAGAGCAGAGGAGGGAGTTGGCGACCAGGAATTCCCGAACCTGTTTGGTGACTTTGGGGTCGTTGACAATGTTTGGGCGCCCTTTTTTGATTGAGCCAACCCGGTTGGCGCAGGCTTTAGCCCACACTCTTTGTGAAAATTTGAGCTTCAATGATCTTTCAGCAATGCGTTTCTTTCGAAACACATCACGCCCAGCAGCAGCCAAAAAACTTTTGGCATCTGTTGATGCTACTGTGGACCCTTTTGCTAATTCTGAAACTTTTTGAATAACCTTGGCAGAGCCACCACGATCTGCTTCCGGAACGTGCACCTGCAAGCTTTCTTTCTCATCAGCCGTCAGGAGGTTCCAGATTGCAGTGGCCACTGTTTCCGAATTGCCAGCAGCTTCCCGAAATGCTTCCAAAGCTTCCTTCAAGGCCTTCCTCGGCCTTTCTAACTTCCGGTTTGCCGTGGCCCTGGATGCCTTCTTCTTTGGCGGCATGGCGAGCGGAATAGCTGTGGAGGAGTCTATGTGAGAATATCGCAATGCATGCAACACACATGAAGTATCTGCCATTTGTTCACCCGGGGAGTGGGCCAGGGGTGGTACATGGCTGGTCCAGGTCTGGAACGGGTATGGAACGGTATGGAACGGGGTCTGGAACGAAACAGGCCACTCCAGCACAGCACTGCCACCACACAGGTTGTAAGCACGTCTTTGCCAGATTGGGAGTTTGGTGCAAGCGCATCCCTAGCAGGCATCACACAACACAGCTGTGCCACAGCGGGCGCAAACCTGCATGCACAAGAGGGTCACAAGCAATCCATTCTGCGAAACCTATCTGGCAGCAGCCAAGCGCACACAGCACAGCTGTGCCACAGCGGGCAGCCTTGAGAGAGAGGGAAGGTCACAAGCAATCCATTCTTAGACTGCCAGCTGGCAGCGGCCAAGCGCATCCCTAGCATCACACAGCACAGCTGTGCCACAGCGGACAGCCTTGAGACGGAGGGAAGGTCACAAGCAATCCATTCTTAGACTGCCAGCTGGCAGCGGCCAAGCGCATCCCCAGCATCACACAGCATAGCTGTGCCACAGCGGGCAGCCTTGAGAGGGAGGGAAGGTCACAAGCAATCCATTCTTAGACTGCCAGCTGGCAGCGGCCAAGCGCATCCCCAGCATCACACAGCATAGCTGTGCCACAGCGGGCAGCCTTGAGAGGGAGGGAAGGTCACAAGCAATCCATTCTTAGACTGCCAGCTGGCAGCGGCCAAGCGCATCCCCAGCATCACACAGCATAGCTGTGCCACAGCGGGTAGCCTTGAGAGGGAGGGAAGGTCACCAGCAATCCATTCTTAGACTGCCAGCTGGCGGCAGCCAAGCACATCCCTAGCATCACACGGCACAGCTGTGCCACGGCAGGCAGCAACTGCAAGTGGTGCAGGCACAAGACTTGCCAACACAATCACGGGGCCTGGGTATAGCAAATGTATTCTGCACGTATGCAGCCATGTGTGTACGTGCGCTCATGCATGTACGTACAACAGTAGAAAAATATTAGAAAGCTTCAATTGTGTATATATATATATATGTATGTATACCGTGTACCACCGTATAATATATATATATAGTATACCTAATTGATACATACATATATATATATATCCTCAACCAATGCAGATACGGCTTGACCAAACATAGGCTGCAACGACCGCACACTGCAAAGTTTAAAGTGGTTTCAGAAACATAAGGTTCAGATTGAGCTCATCCTGCATGTTTGCTTTCTTTAACCTTGCATATTTCTTGTGGTTCTGGGGTGCAACCAGGAAACGCGGCAAGAAGAATCCCATGCAGATGGATCCAACATTTCAATCTAATCTGTCTGCTGCCGCAGACTAAATCCATTTTTTTCATCTGCCCCGAACGTCTTCTGTGAAAACGCAGCAGTATCCTGACGGACAGTGCTGTGAAACCCCCAAATAAGCAGCAAACCTTGTTCACAGCAAGGCAGCCGTCAAACCCCTATTTTTTCTTCAGCCGTTTCGCCGTTCTTTCGGATCTCTCAAGGGCTTGGTCGTCCTTTGTCTGCCACTGTGCCCGCAACTCTTTGCTTTCACAAATGATTGCTTCGAGCTGATCCTTTGAGAAATCTTCCATTGTGCCTGCCACTTTCAAACCAAGATGTTTCCGTCCATGGAATACCAAGCCTGGCATGAACATGTTGTTTCGAACAGAAAAAAGGGTGTTGCCATGCACTTGGAGGAT